TAAAAGATCAAAAAACATGGAATCGTCAAGGCAGGCATGCAGATCTATTGTTCAATTCATGATTGAAAAAAAATAAAGTGAAAAATCGAATCCGGAAACGTATCTCTTCTTGGTTAGAACAATTCAAAAATGGTGCATTTTGTCAAGGTTGGACCACCATTTATAATATATGAATTTGACAGATACTTTTTAAATAAATATACAAAAAACATTGGTAAACACACATACTCACACATTTTGCCAAATATATTAGAAAAATAATATTAAATCCTGTAAATTTTGTTAATTATTTCATTAAGTTTTTTTAATTGTTATGCGTTACTTTTTTGTAATAATAACGTTTTACTTTTTTGTTTTTGAATTTTTAACTCTTTACAAGTTGTAAACAATAAAGGATACATTTTTCGTAACGCTAAAAATGTTATTTTATTTTTGAACGGTAATGCCCTTTGATTTTCAAACATGGTCCAACCTTGACTGTAAGGGCCAACCTGGACTACAAATTTATTTTTTTGAAATTATTATAACTTTTTAATTTTAAAACCAATGAATTTACTTTGTACAGAAAAAATATTTCTATTAAACAGTAAGACTTTCCAACAATATACTTCAATTGACCAAATTCACTTTTAAAAAAAAGTTATAAACAAAAGTCAAAAGGTGGTCCGACCTCGACTATATTCCCCTACTTTAGAGATACATTCCATTGGTGTCAACCGCACATAGTCTCGTAAATTTCTCGTAATTCAAGCTTTGAATGATTTAAAAATGTTTTGGTAAAAATGGCTATATAGCCTATCTGATGAAAAGATAAAATTTTTGATAAGAACGATAACTTAGAGTGTCGGTAGGTGACGTTTGACACCCTTGCGGGTAAAGTAATGTTAATTTTTATTATTCTAATGTATAACGTTATCACGCCAGTTACTTTAGAATTGACTCAAAACAATTAAGATAACTATAATAAGTTTTTGTAAAATCACGCCTGGATCAGGAGAACACGTGACTGAGCAGACATCCCCTTCTAAAAGCATAGATCACCCTTATAGTTGCACATGTGGCAGCAGCAACTTAAGAAGGGAGATATGATAGCTTGTTCTGCTGAGCGCTCGTCTGCTTATATTACATATGCGGTTATGTTCTTTCTGCCTGTTTTTATCGGGGATAAAAGTATCGTAAAAGATTATATTTTTGCACAAAAATTGCAAAGAAAAAGATTGCTTCTTATATATTATTCTTTTTTATACATATATTTATACTGTAAGCTTATTCAATTATGACTCGAGCAAGATCTAGATCAAGTGCTTTTAATAAGCAGAGATAAAACGTGAGAAACACCAACTAAATTTTTTATTCTTTTTAACCCTTGTGTTCATATCTAAAAGTATCCACGTTGTCTTTGCACTTGGAGTACCGGGGTACCCACTACAGTAAAAATTAATAAAAAATAATTTGATGATCAGATTCAAATTTTCATTGCATGAGAATACTTCGTAAGACTCTACTACACCCTAAAAGATTTTTTGAACAATTTAGCCCTTTTTAAAACCTACCCTTCGTGACAAAAAATACCCCTTTTAGGAAAAGAATCGTAACATTAAAACCATTAACACTCGAACAAAATTGAAAGTATGTACGAACAAATATAACACCAGTCTAGGGGTTTTCCGGGCACTGATCACGAATTTCATGTCAAATCGACAATTTCATAGATGACAGCTGTCAAAATTCAAATGTCAACTTTTTAAAACTATAAAAATTAACTAATTTTAACGAAAATACAGCATAAGGGTTTTCGGAGACGCTGATTATAAATATGAAGTTAAATTAACAATTTTATTTGACAGATGTCAATTTAATTATTTTTAACAAAAATTATAGTGAAGGGTTTTTATGGATCGCTTATTAAGAATATGATGTCAAATTTGAAATTTGATAATTGGCTGTCAAGTCAACTGTCAACTTTTCAAAAAAGTGATTATTTTTGAACAAAATTACAGTGTAATTGCGAAATTTCAAAGACATTATTATATCCGCCATTTAAAATTTTTGAAAATCGACATAAAATTCGTAATCAGCGACCCCGAAAATCCTGAAGAGATGATTTTCAAGTAAATCCAATAATTTTTTACAAAACTCGTTCGCCGTTTAGAATCTTTGCAAACTGACTTCAAATTCGTAATGAGCGACCTCAAAAACCCTCGAGTGATAATTTTCAAGCAAGTCTAATGATTTTTTACAAAACTCGTCGGCCATATTGGAACCATCAGTTTGAATTTTTGAAAATCGACTCCAAATTCGTGATCAGCGACTCCAAGAACTCCAGAGTAACAAGTTTCAAATTAATTCAAATTTTTTTTTAGAAAATTTGTCCCAGTTACCCAGAGAACTTGTGCGATATAGGGGAGAGTGGAGTAAAGGCGATATGCGGGGCAACGACGTTTTTTAAAATTTCTTCTTAATTTTTTGTTTATTCCAATTGGTGTTAAAAATTTAGTTTTAATGTAATCAGACCAATTATTTAAAAAAAGAAAAATTTAAAAATATCAAATATTTTAACCCTCGGAGAACATAGGAGTCATTTTGACCCCACGTGTTTTTACGAAAAGCTTTTTATCTATATTGTTTAATATTTTTTTATAAGGATTTTAAAGTATACAGACGTATTTTACAGAGTTTTAAGTCTAAGCATTTAATTTTTAAAAACAATTAACATGTAAATACATTTAACATTTCTCTACACAACTGACGTGATTCTTTACTTTAATTTTGTGTCTAAATATATTTGAAGTTTAAAATTAAAAAAAAGTTTGTTATGCTGGGTCATTTCACATTTTCTGTTTAATATAGAATACATCCTGTAAAACTTTATTCTCTTAAATAATATTATATATATATGAAAAGTAATTTACTTGATGAAATTGATTTTATACATTATATGGTCTAGCTCTTAAAAAACCTTTTAAGAAAACAATAATCTTCAAGTCCCATAGTTGAATTGGAGCCAATTTTACATGTCGCAGTTCACATTGTCATAAAACTTGCTAAGTGGGAAGAACCTACAAGAAGATAAATTATCTTCTTAATAACACATCTCTTCGATCCATTAGGTTGACTTTTTTCCGTATAGTTATTATTCCTATATAAGGTTGTAATTTAAGAACTCTGGAAATTTTTATTTAATAGAATATGAAATTTCGTCTGACGGTAAAGAAGGAAATAATTTTTCATCAACTTTGAATAAAAATTAGTGTAGATGGAAACTTAAATTTATGAAAAATATTACTTTAAATTTTTTTGGATTTATAAGGGTTTGACAATTCTTCAGAACTCACATACACGGCAAAAAGAAGAACCTTAAAATACATTGTATACCCTGTTCCACGAGAGAATGCTGTCGTAAAAGGACGAGTTTTCGTCTACTTCGCGCAGATATTAGAGAAATTGTCACTATTCGCTAAATTTTGAAATTTAGACGGCCCATTTTCCAAAAAAAAATTGTGGCCAAGCCTTTTTCCATAATTTAAATCCACCGACTCAAGTTTAACTCTCTGCCGACACATGTCTCGACGACCCACGTTTATGACAGTGGTAATAAATGAAAAAAATAGAGGCAATAAAATATTAAAAATGTTTAAATATTACAATTAATAAATTTTTAATAATATATTTGTAATCTATTAATTCTGCCGATTCAAATGATATATAATTTTTTTTTCAACTATGAAATTGAATATTTTCTATTGTCGATCTGCAAAGTAATAAATCTTAACAATTTTTATTGAGAGCTAATTTCACTGTCGAAATCACATAGTTCAATCTAATATATTTTAAATGATTAATAAATTTTAAAAAAATATTTTGAAAAAAATTTGGAGTTCTCATTTGTAATATAATTTAAAATAAAAAATTTTTAATTTTATGTTTAGAAACAAAAATTAAATATCAATGGAATCAGCAAAACTGATAGATTCCAAATTTGTTAATGGAAATTCATTAATTGTAATATTTAAATATTTTGAATATTTTATAGCCTCTATTTTTTTCTTTTATGAGTACCGTCATAAACATGGGTTGCTAGAACACGTGTCGGGAAAGAATTGATCTTCAGAGGTTTGAAATGTAGGTGTTCAGTTAGCAGGCATGATTTTCATTGGTTACAAAATTTTCGGAAAACACCATTTTTAAATTTTTCTCCACCCTTTAAGAAAAAAAAACTGCGCGTCAGAAAGCATTCTCTCGTGGAACGCAGTATAGTCACTTTTAAAATATCTCATTTTTCCATTGTCCATTTTAAAAGTCAATGCATTTTAAAATGCTTTTGATAACTTTTTCAAAACATCTTAAAACTGACTACTTTAAGTCCAGTCTTTATAGGCTCCTCAGAAGAGAAGGGTAACATGAAATTAGCAGAAAATTTATCCTGAATACGTATCAAATCCCATTACACAAACATTAGGTGTTTTTTGATCAAAAGCTGACATAGTCATAATTTGACTTAGCCATAATAAATTCAATTCCAAACAATGTAATAAGACAAAGAATAAAAACTACGACATGTTATGCTCCAATGCGTTACGATAGGAAATAACACTACATATTTTGAAATTAATTTTTTTGAAATCATTCAAAGTTTCAAACTCTCTAAATGTGAGTGAAATTTCGCACTTCTTTATATTTAGGGCCAGTTTCACCAACTCCGATTAAAAGTTTTAATCAATGATTTAAGTCAGTTCAACGCTCATGATTGGTCGGTTAAGGATTTAATCAGTGTTAACGAAACTAGTCCTTAGAGAGTTAATTAAGTAAATTCTTGTCATTGAAGTGTTAAAGGTTATGTCTTAAATAAGGAAAAATGTCGATTAAATTAAATAATTAAATAAACGTCTATAATTCAATGTCAATCTCACTTTTAAATGAAAATTACTCCAGCGCAACTCATACACTTAGAACAATGCGCCCTTGTTGGCAGTCAAGAAGAAAATTAACCATGTACTTACAAGAATGCAATCTAGCCCTCCACGCCAGTGGGTCGCTGACCAGTCCTTGTAACCCAGGCCAGTAAACAGACGGATGTCGCTGCTCTGCACGTTGTTGAAATTGACTAATTCCTGTAAAAGATGTAGAATTAACTTTTAGAATAAGTCGTAATGTGTATAAGAAAACAAACTGAGTAGATATTTTAAAATAATTTGCACATCTTCTTGTTTATTTGAAATTTTGCTTAGCTTCTTTTGGCTAAGGGTCAGTTGTTCTATTAATTAAATGTAACAAAAATATAATAAGACCGCATAGTTCCCACTTAAGATGGTGTTAGCATAAATTAACTTAATATGTAAACATTTTTTGTGAATTTTTCAAATAAGGTCATGCCACCTTTGTGTCAATTCAAAGGCCATATTTGGCCACATAAAAAAAAATTTTTTTTGACACTCAAATTTGAGTGGCAATAAGTAAACTAAAGTTTTTGGGGTCTCTGAATCTGAATTTAAAGTGAAATTTCACATTCCAAATGACGAAACAAAAATGACAACTACAAAAACTAAAAAATTTATTAGAGGTGTGCACTTAATTGAGTCGAACCGAACATTAATCGACTCGACAACAGAAAATTCGAATCGAAGATAATTTAAAAATTACCCGCCATATTAGGTCGTCATATTGAATCTGCAATTTTTAATTTTGAAAAACTGACCTCGAATTGGAATTCAACGACCCGAAAAACTATATCGGACGCTCAAATACTGTTATATAAGTCCATCAATTTTGATCCGATTGACTTGAAATTTTAACACAATATTCTCGAGATATTATGCATTCACAGAAAATAAACAATCATTGTATATTTGCTTTTCAAATAATCATTTTGTGATATAAAAAAATCTCTATCTAGTAATTGACAAGTAGTTGGTTATTTGAATCTGATAAATTACTTTCGTAACCAAGCAAATTGCACGCACAATGCTAGACATGTAGTCCGCACACGTGACACTTTATCCGCACCACGTGTCCTCACTATTTGATCAGACAGATGCGTCCTCATATGCAAATTTTTACTAATTTGCATGTCTCTTCAGAAGACTAGTTTTAGACGTAGTGCTGTCGAATCACTATTCTTAGTAGGTAGTAATAACGTTTTTTGTTAATATCTTTTAAAAATTGTTGGGTGATAAAATATTGCGAACAAAATCGAGATAAAATAATTTTTGAACTTAAAACCTTGCTAAGGTCCCTTCTTTCTCGAACCTCCAAGTCAGATCTTGAAACAGATAAGTTCAACTTGATCCAAATTTTATAGTGATAAATATATTTCTTAATCCCTTACACTTTCTAGATTATAGAATCAGTAAAAATTTCAATTCAGTGAAATTTTACCGATTCTCAGTGAAATCCAACGGACCCTTTCTTTATTTTTTATTTCTTCTTTATTATACGTATTGTAGATTAATGAAAGCTGTAGAAAAAAGTAACAAAAAATATTTAAAAACAATTATTATTAAAGAAATGAAAGCATACAATTTTTATTAGTGTACATAAAAAGACATATGGAAAGATAAAATATCAGTGATTTTAAGGTTAAAGTATTATATCAATATATAATCAATGATAACAGAGTAAATAAAATGTGACGTATAATCTTCTGTCGCATATATAAAATAAATTCGAAACGTTAAAAACAATCGTTAAAATTAATTGCAAAATTTTATTTAATTGTGGAATTATTATTTTAATTTTTTATTTCTTAGTGTCTGTAATTTTCGGTGTTGCGTTGGCACCTAACAGAAATTTTTTTTTGTAATGAAAATGGTCAAAGTTTATTTTAAATAATTTATCTAAACTTTACTTTTTTAGTTATTTAACGTAACTCTTTTTTATTTGAACTGAAATTTAAAATTTAATTAAAATTTAGCATCTAGAATATTGCAAGATCTTATTAAGGCAGTAGTCTCCTTTAGAAGCCGAAAAAAGCGTTTTTTCAGCAATTTTTTTGAAAGGTAAGGAAATGATTGCGGTAAACGAAATTTTTAGATTATATTCTACTATATTTCAGCTTAAAAAAACAATTCTTATTATTAAAAAATATTAAAATTCTTCTAAGTTATAACAATTTTTGTGGAGCGCCTTCAGTCTGCACTTGCAAATCGGTGCCGGTGATGGAGGTCGTGCGATGCATCTGAAACAGTCAAACCAAAATTTTTAAAAATTTTTATAAGTTTCTTTTTTATTTGAAACTAAAAAAATACTAAATTTATTTCAAAGAAGTTATAAAATTCCAAATTTTTTCGAAGTTTGAAAAAAAATCACTTTAAGTTGCAAAAGAAGAAGTTTAAATAATGCTTTTGTCCAACTATTTTAGTTCAAATAGAAGATAATTTAATACTGAAGCTAGATCACTTTGATTTTTGTCGATCGGACAAATATTCTTTATGCTATCGCCGGCACCGTTTTCTATGACGTGTGAAAAATGAAAATTCGAGAAAACGCGCTTTAAAGTTTTTGGTCCAAAAAATATAAGTTTTTGGATACTTACACTAATTAAATTTTAATCAGCTATTCCTGGACCATACAGCAATCCTTCCTCTTCTTCGAAGAACTCATTTTGGCGGAGGCTTTCTGATGGTCGAGCTGCGCGAGACTAGTTGCTCAAAATTCTCGAAAATGATGCGCGCCGGTTCTCCCGCGTTATGTGCGCGCGCTGGGGTCTGCCCGAGCATTCTCACGTTCTCGACGGTCGGTCACAAAATCTGTTCTACCTTCGAAAATATGTCGAATTGTCCTCTAAATTTTTAAAGACATATTCTTCGATAGTTTTGGAATAGATTTAAGACGAAAAAAGTCGATTTTTTAAGCCTATAAAGGAGACTACTGCCTTAAATACAGAACGTCGTCTTTTGGGAAAACCTGAAATCTCGGAAAGTTAGCTATCACAGCTAAGATGTTTGCAAAGGCAGCGAACCAGTTCACTATGAGAAAATTTTGAAATAACTTTTTTTCTCGTAGTTTTTTAAATTATTCATCGTCTACTATGAAAATCTTCTTTTTAGATCTTTATAAAAAGGCATTAACAGCTTTTCTCTTAGAGTTTTAAAAATTATTCATCATCTACTATGAAAATAGTTTCTTTTGTTTCCCAGATGCGCTCACTGCTACTTGATTGGTATTAGAGTGTGCGTCCGTGCGCAGACCGAGTTCTAAAATTGGGATGTTCAATTGTCCCCATTTCAACTAACCAAGTTTGTTGTTGCAGTTAAATGTTCACTGATTCATCTAACCCTTTCCATGCGTGTATGTAACGTAAACTAAAAATATTCATTTTCAGATTTTCAGTTAGGTCGGTGTAGTTTAGGGGTTAGGTATTAGATTTGCTTTCGTTACATCGTGCATTCGACTGTTAAGGCCATTCTTGAAACAATTTTAAGCTTCGGATAACTCTTGTGTTAGGTCCTCTGATCCAGCGGAACCAAGTATTGCCGCCGATCTAGAGAATCATAGATAAGGGCCTTAGGACTTTTTCAAGGGTTGTCTTGCAATGTTCGTTCAACCTCCTCATATGTTGCGAGGAATTGCCGCAATACCTGCATAATACGTCGCAAAAGATTTTCTTTCCAAAGAAGAATTAAAAGGATGGGCCTGAAAAATATAGACCACTTATAGAATTCACCTTTAACTCTTTAAGAACCCAGTAAAAAGAAAAGTATTCAGAATAGAGAAAAAGTATTGGTGGAGACGTTCGGTGAATGCGTTTTCGCGACAAAACCGTATTGGTGGGTTACGGTAAATACATTTTGCTTACCGTGAATACTTTTTTTTAAACTTTCGATTTAAAGATTCCTAAGCAAAGTTGAGAATATTTATAAAGAGCTTAAGTGATCTGAAGTATGAAAATGACTATTGTGAGAAGGAAATAAGAAATTTTGAGAAAAAACGAAAAATTAAATATGACAAACAGATTGTCAAATGTTGATCAATTACCATATGCTTTCTGTGCCTACAACGTATGATGATTAAAAGGAACTTTGACGTTACCGACGAAACTTACTGTTTCACATACATTTACTTGGATTTCTCAAGTTTCTGTCGGTATCGTCAAAGTTCCTTTTCATCATCATACGTTGTAGGTTTGTCACATTTAATTTTTCGTTTTTTCTCAAAATTTCTTATTTCCTTCTCGCAATCGTCATTTTTATACTTCAGGTCACTTACGCTCTTTATAAATATTCTCAACTTTGCTTAGGAATCTTGAAATCGAGAGTTTAAAGAAAAAGTATTCACGGTAAGCAAAATGTATTCACCGTAACCCATCAATACGGTTTTGTCGCGAAAACGCATTCACCGAACGTCTCCACCAATACTTTTTCTCTATTCTGAATACTTTTCTTTTTACTGGGAACCATCACTTATTGTAAGAGGATTTAATAAACTTCTCGCAAGAAGATTGGCACTCGCATATGGAATATATGGATTATATGAGATCGTTCTATGTCCCGCTCACAGTTTGCTACGTCGGTTGTAGTCAGCAATTTTCTTTCCAGTTGTAGAATGTCAATAAATATTGACAAAAGCTTCACACTAGGTTCTCGGCCATCTGGAAGAAAGAAAAAGACAACCCATGGATATTATGGCGAAATTCGAAATTGGTGTCCAACAATTGCTATCTTGATGAATGAAGATTTTTAGAGATATGGTTAACTGGTCAAGGAAATTAAAAGAAAGACACTTTACTTGGTAGGGGGATATCTCATCTTAATTAACAGAACACTACTAAAGGCGCAACAGCGATTTTTTGCTCTACGCAAAAAGTTATACTACCCGATGGTCTTAGGTAATGTAACAGTCGAATCTTTAAATTGAGTCGACTTAGCAATAAGATCAGCTGTACGTGGGTGACTGAGTATGTCATCAGATAAATCCAAGGCCTACTTCCGTCTATTCTATATGTAGCAGACTGTGGTTTAGACATTCCTTCGATGAGATGTGTCTTCATTGTTATTGAAAAGGCGACTTGAGGAACTAGGCACGGTATTCCATTAGAAAACATTACTTTCACCTCGGTTTGTAACCCTTGCTCAGCACGGAATCAAGGATTCGTTCGAAAAGACTTTAAACAGAT